CCCATCCCTGGAGGTATTTAAAAGACGGGTAGCTGTGGCATTTAGGGACATGGTTTAGTGGTGGACTTGGCAGTGCTAGGTTAACAGTTGGACTCGATGATATTAAAGGTCTTTTTCCAATCTAAATGATTCTATGATTCTAAATTTATCCTCAACTTAAACCAAGTTTTCCAGTTTTTAGGCCAAAATGCCAACCCTTCTGTAGTTAACGTAATCTCCCACTGCTTGGGGTTTTTTTTTATTGTTTGTTAATAAAAAAATTACTTTTAAAAATAAAAAAAAGTGACTTTAGAAGTTGGGAAGATCTTAATTATTGATACATTTGTGTTCATAGTTGCAAAAGATTACTCTGTGTAGATCAGAGATGCTTGATGACATTCAACAGGTATTCATCTTATACATATATATATATATTTATATATGTGTGTGTGTATGTATTTTTTTTCCCTATGCTCTGTGGTCATTTATGTGTTGGAGTCAACCAGCTAAATTGTGAGATCAGAGCTTCACAAATGATAAAGACTTTTTTGCTTAGTTTTTGTTGTTGCTCTTAGTGCTATCAATGTATTTGACAAACCTTTTTTCTTTGCCATTTAACATTCAGGGAGAATAAGAATTGTTTCTTACAGTAAATAAATGGAAAGCAAACCCCATAGCAAATCCGGTTATGTTTCTATGATGACATTTATGCTGCACTTTGCATACTTGTATTCTGATGGAGAGCTGCATTGTACCACAGCGGACAATCGAACATGGCGCTTAGGAAGTATTTGCACAGTTTTGTCCAGACCTTTTTTTCCTAAAGAGGCTTTCATGTTGATGCTTATCTAAGTTCTGTCAAGTGGCAGTTAAGATAGTAGAGTTTTTTCTTAATAATAGAATAATACAAACATGATCATAGGATTCAGAGAAGTACTAAAAGAGAAACCTAGTTGTTCATATGATCCGTCATCTGGGTTTGACTTGTCATGTGCTTGCTGTTAAGCCTCTCTCTCCTATTTTCTTTTAAATTCATGAAGATAGGAACACATATCTATGTTCATTCTGAAATTTTAATTTAAGTTGCTTCCACCTAGTAAAGTGGTCAAAAATGTTTACAATTAATTATTTTTATCTTCATTTGAAAGTCACTGAAGGAATTTCATAGAAGTCCTCACTGTCACAAAATTCCCCTCCAGGCAGTCTGCAAAAGTAGAACAGATAAATGTTTGGGACAGCTGTGGGCATATGAAACAGTGGTGGACTAACAACAGTTTTAGCCCTTTCACTACAGCAGTCATGACCATCAGGGATCCCTTTTAATAGGCTGACATAAAAAGTATGCCCAGCGCACTTTTCGAAGGAAAGGTCATCGTTTAAATTAGAGGTGGTAGCAAAATGACTTTGCAATACAAACCTACGTATGGATTTATGAAAGCTAATTCTTTTTAAGATTAGACCCAGGTAAACTGTTCATATGGTCCAAAATTGAGGTGGTGTGTAGACAGCAAGAAGTGATGTCGTGACTGTTGTGCTTTTTGCCATTTATTTGCCAAGACTGGATGACCTTGTTTGGGTTGATATTCCTAATTAAGCTAATTTTAAGAGGAGCATTCTTTACCAAGGACAGCATTTCATTCTCAGATGGTAAGAATTCGTTTGTAGTGAACAGTCAGTGTGATTTTTTTCATACTGTGAGTGTAATGGAGTCCTTTTTGTTTTTAAAAATGCCTCATACCAACGAACAGATAAATACTTGATTCTGTGGTGGTTAACTTGGAAGAATTCCATGTCGTGACAGTAGTGAGACATCACTGACGATATACTTCTTAGCTGGAAAGTATTGATCTTGGTGCCATTCTCTTTAAAATATCGTAAGAATTGCCAAGAATGTCATTATTTGTGACCTGCACCTTAACTGATTAAACACAATAATGGATGTGCATTGAGCAGTATGAATTATTCAAGGTTCTTCCCTCAGAAAATAGCTATTGGGTATAAAAGTCTAATGATCCCATTTTGAGTGATGATAAACTTCAGTGTTGTTCCACATAGAGAAGAAAAATAAGTGAGAGTACAAATTATAGAGATCTGGAGCTTTCACGTAGGTGGATTTAAACCTGACTGCAGTCAGTAGTGGATGGACAAGTTTGTTCTTAGTCGCATTTGTGGGCGTTCCCATTGTATCTGGTACCTACTGGTGGCTTCCAGAGTAGCACTGTTGAAGACTGTATAGATCAAATTGGGGCAGCTGTTTCCACTGCTTTCTCTACCTATATTTATTCTTTAACTGAACTGCTTGAACATGATTGACTTTTGTGTGCGCGAACATGTGTGGGTGTTTTTTTTTAGTAGGAAGAGGAAGGAATAAACTGTATACATCATTTAACGTAGCTGTGACTGCATCGTTATACACTCAAATTGTCAAAATGCATTTTCATTTTGTTCTTGCTTAATCCAAGTCTTTGCTTACATCTTGTATGTCTGAAAAATTACTTGGCATTTTCAGGTGCAGTATGTTGTCAGTGAATGGTGTGTGTTTTTCTCATCAGGTGCTGTTATATTACTTGGAAGAACCAATATGTTTCGCTTTAACCACCCCAAAGAAGCTGCTAAGCTAAGGGAAAAAAGAAAGGTGAGATTAAATCAGTGTTTGGGGAAATTTAAACCTTTTTGCAATTTTCTTGTTAATATAGATATACCTTGATTGTTGTAGAATACTTTTTTTTTTACTTGCTTCACATAAATTAGTTAATATTTCATCAAGTGCAACAAAATAAGAGTTTGTAAGCACATCAGTGTTTGTCTAATACATGTATTTTATGGTCTGTTGTAGAGTGGACTGCTATCTTCCTTCAGCTTGTCTATGACAGATCTTTCAAAATCTTGTGAGAACCTGTCAGCGGTTATGCTTTATAATCCAGGGTGAGTATATTCTAAAATGCGATTATTAAAGTTGCAACTGTTCTTCTTCATTGTAGTGGTTTGAATGTTCCAAATGGCAGTAATAGAAAATATTTTGTTCTCAGGTTAATAGTATTTGCTTGTTAAATAATGAGCTTCTGAATGAAGCCAGAACTTTTCAGAAATGTTGTTTGAACTAGTCCATGCTAGGAAGTGGGGTGAAGGGACACTGAGGAACTTTCCATCCTGCTTAAAACTTGCTTTTACCTGGGATTTCTCTAGTTAAATGCAAAAAGAGTAACTGCACCAGCAAACACTGCTAGATCTAACACAAAGAAAGTTGTAGTACCTGGAGTCTGGGAGGCAACATTTGCATTATAACCAAGGCGGTCCAGCACAATAATGACATGGCAAATTTTACATTTATGCTTTCTTCAGAATTACAGGTTAACTATTTTTCCTGAGAAAAATGCATTGTAAACTGAAAATCAAGGGTTTTTTGGGTTCATATAATACCAATACAAGCATAAAAAGGCTGGGAAATGAATGTCTTGTGTTCTCACCTATATACCTCCTAGTAGGTGGCCAAGCTAGAATGTGGAAAACAGTTTTATTATACAGTTACAATGACATAGACTGCTTATTGTAGAGACTCTGTTTTTAATGTTTTTACCAGTGTTCTTAAAATGACTTGCAGAGAATTGATGGTGTTTTGTTCTAATTTTTTTTTTTCAATAGCTAGTGCCTGTGTTTTGAATTGAATGTGAGATGAGGCACTTTAACCACCTATGTGCTATTGAAAAATTGGCCGTAAATTGAATTACAGGCTTGGATAGTGCAGTTTTATTCCACGGTTTTACTGTGGGGTTGCTCTTTATCCATTAGAACTTCGGAAGATTGGACAAGTAATAATAACTTCAAGTTAAACAATGTCTTAAATACAGTGAATATGGGTAATAACACTGCTTCAAATGTGACTGTTACTCTTTTGCTACTGAGCTACCTACAGAGATCTCAAGATCGTGAGCTAGTTGCTCATAAATTGCATATTTTTTCAGAGACGAAAGAGAAGGTCAAAAAAGTCTATGTATATTTTTCTATTTCTTTAGCTTTTCAGATAGTTTGATCTAAGAACTTCTAGTGACAGTTGCTAGTATTATATTTTCTGTGGACTGGGAAAAGTTCCTGGCTGTTCTTTGTTACCTCTGGTTATTGATCAGCTACCATGGGCTTTTCCCCGACTAATAATGTTACTCTGTTACAATACTGTTATGAATAATTGCATTATACTGCACAGTACTGACCTTGACTTTGCAGTCAGCGTAGAGTAGGACAGATTGTTTCGGCTTTGCCTCACTTTTAGTCTTTCAGATTTGCAGCAAAATATAATGGCATGGGCAAGGCCCAGTTGAAGGTAGGCTTAAGAATAACTCCCTGCCCAAGGAGTTCATACTGCCTTCAGCTAATGCTAAATTGTGTCTTACAGAGAGGATTTTTCCTGTGACCCTTATTTAAAAAAAAGAAAAGAAAAAAAAAAAAGTCTTGAGTGTTACTTGATTGTCTGTGTGGTGGAGCAGATTGCAGCAAATTCTTTTTTGTCTAATATATTTTGTGGAATATAGCTTCTTTTTTCCCTTCTAAGTTCTTCAAACATCTTGCCTTTCTTTTCTGGAAATCAAACAGTATAATTAAGTTATCAATGTATGCAGCAATTTTTGGAAACACTACAATTTTTCCTATCTAATTCTTGTAACTTTTATTTTCATTTCTTGGGTGTGATTACAAGAGTGCTGTTGAAATCGAGGATGATATTAGGTGAAATACTCTTCATATTCCCAAACACTTTCATGCCTATGTTTTATTAGACTATAAACTATGACCAGAGGGTTAATTATTGATATTTTCCTGCTAGTCTGCATTCAATTAATCTTTGTGAACTGGCTTGCAGGAGTAGATGTTTTGTCCTGCTTAATTTGTAAACACAAGAAAGGATTATGCTTAAGGCTCGCAGGCTGCAGGAGGAATGCAGGTCTGTATGACTGTCGCTCGTTTGTGAGCAATAAAACCTATCTGAGGTTGTTCCGTAGTCACTGTTATGTACATATGTTTTTCTAAGCGAGGAAGCTCATGGTTGCATATTCATAATTTAAACTCTTACCCCGATCTTTAGATGCTTTACCTATGTTTAAAACAATAGATGCCATACCTAATAATACACATTGCCTATGCAGTGCAGAGGTGGGTGTTGTCCTAATAGATCAGTGATTAAAAAACAAACAAACAAACAAAAAAAACCAACAAAAAAACCCCAAACAACCAAAACCCCCAAAGAAAACAAAACAAAAAAACAAACAAAAAAACCTCAAATATGACTTTTTACTGCTTTTATGACTGCTGCAAAGAGAAGCAAATTGGTAGAAGAAAGCATCTTCCATAATTGATGCATCTTTATGGACAGCAGTTTGGCAACAGCAGCTTTTCAGCTTAGGTTGGGGTTCCATGACAATTTTAAATTTATTTCTGCTGATGCTAACACTGTTTTCTTTCCATCTCCTCCTTTGTGACAGCACTGGTTTTTTTCTGATCATGTGGTGGGCTTGTCCCAAAGAGGTAATTCTGCAGAAAGTGTTACTTTAAGGGGAACAGGTGGCTGGGGTAAATGCAAGTTAAAGAAAAGAATAAGTTTTCAATAAAGCAGACCCCAGGCATTTGGGCTTTAGTAATGATTCAAAGCCAATGGCATGGTATTTGTAAAGAGTTAGCCGGCTCGCAGAATGCTTGAGCTCTGTACTTCCAGCTAGGAGTGCTGCTTAACAAGTGCAATGCTGCAGTGGTTATTCTGCGTGGTGACTGTGTTAAGCCTGGGTAAAACATTCAATACATCTCCTCTCTGGGTATCAAAGGCAGGGTAATTGTACCCAAGGCGTTAGGTGGGGGCGAGCATCTTGCTTCCTGGAAAAGTGCAGCTGGAAAAGAATATCCTATGCTAAATTTGGGTTGGATTTTTTTTTTTTTTTCATCAGGAACAACGTAGGATGTGGTCCTTTGGTATGACCCTTTATTACAATAGATTGCAGTATCAGTTTCTCATAACATAACAGTGTACTGCCCACCAGCAATGTAGATCTAGATTCAATAGCTGGCCCTCTGGGGTTTTTTTGTGCAACTTCTGTAGCTGACTAGCATTCTGCCTATTGTTAATTTAGCACTTTCAAGACCACCTTTTCTTCCAGTTTCAGTATCGGTAACCTAAAGGCTGGCAGCTAAATTTGCAGTTTCTGTAGGTCGTAATAAACAGCTTTTAAGATAGAGCATCTTTAGCAATCAATGGCAGAAGAGCCTGTGCGGTATTACCTTCAGTTGTGAAAGCAAATAAATGATGGATCTTGCTTACTGTATCTGTATCTTTCCCATGTGAAAATCAGTGTTATCTTTAGTTGTGTTTTCAGATGGGTGGTCTTTGTGTGTGTCTTTTGGGGTGTGTGTGGGGGGGGGTTTGTGTGTGTGGTTTTTTGTTTGGCTGTTGATTTCCCATATGTGGAGATAGTTGCATAAAATTTTGGCTTAACATGCAAAATTCTTTGTTCTGCTTGTTCCCCGTCTTTGTCTTTAATCTGGTGTCATGCAACACTGCTTCAGATAATAAGCTTTGGATAAAACAGAATTTTGCACATAGATTTATGCTGAAGATTTCATTTGTGGACCTTCTGTAAGCTACATTATACTGTAATTCTAAAACCACTCATGAGAAACCTTGGTCTTGTCATGGACTTAGCATAGGGGTTTTTGTTTTGTTTTTTTTTAAAATTCATCTCATAAATTGGGCTACTGAGCAGCATTGTAACATCTTTGTAGTCCTGCCATTACTCAGTCTTTCCTAGTAGATGTAGTACCAGATTGCACTTTTGTGCTGTGTAAAATAAGCTATTGTAGTACTGTGCTAGTAGAACTGACTTCCTTTCTCTGCAGCTTATCTACACTGCTCTTATCACTAGATATGCCACATTTTCCAGGAAAATGGTGGCTATCTAATTCAACACTGATCAGATTAAGTTCCTTTGTGGTACATCTACAAAAGAATAAAGAATGGATTCTAGTCGTTAATATCTGTATGTATGTTTCTTTTTAATTTCAAGCTAATATTTTTTTTTTCTATTCATAGTAGTGCTCACATTAATAAAGGGAGTAGATGTTATGTGAAAAAGATTTTTATTACAGATAGACTAAACCGGAAAACATCAGTCTTGCATCTGTGCTTTGTAAGACTGGCAGTGATTTGTTATAGTCAGTGATTTTTTTTTTTGTTGATGGTGAGATTTTTTTTTGCTAGCTTCTTAAAGAAACATGATTTCTGCAATCATTGACAGCCTGTCCTGCCTCCCCAGATTCTCTCCTGTCCTGAAATAACTTTGAACTCACAACCAGTTTGAAGCAAATAACTTGCTGAGGTAATGGTCTCAAAAGTGGTGAATTCCTAAATATATTGAGAAAATAGGCAGCCAGCTAAGGAAGACAGGCATCATTATTATCCCTGCAGCATGAGTGCCTTTGATGGAGAACAGAGGCACTGTGAATAACCCTGTGGTAGGAGGGCCTTCAGTGGAGCTCAGACCTTCTTAGGCACCACCGACTCTACGTAGTAGCAAAACACCAGGCTGTGTTAGCCCTCCTCTTCATAGGAGTATTTACTTGTCTAAAATGCATTAAACGTGCATTTTTAAAATAGCTAGGTGTAGCGTTTGGAAGCTGTTGGTTGGGGTGCTGCTGATGATCTGTATGAGGCTTTGGGACATAGCCATTTTCACTGAAGAAAGAACCACTTCTGCATAGTTCATTCCTCCTTCTTGAACAACCTGTTGAGCACCACTGGCTTCATTTCAGTGTAAGGTAAAACTGATTGTCGTGACGCTAGTGTTGAAGGTATTAGACATTTCCTCAAAGAGAAGGTGACAGAGTTTTCACCGCAGACCTGTTTTTATATCAGGCTGATTGCTGTGATGGCTCATTTTCCTTGTATCAGATCTCAGTCAGAAGCTAGTTACCATTTTTATGCATATATAAAATATGTCACCAACTTGTGTTTTATAGGACAGTCAAAATATCAAAAGATTTTTGCTCTGGATTTTGCACATTATGTTAGCTGATCCGAAACATTTTACTTCATTATGGCTTAACCAAGCATGGGAATACTTGTAAATCATCTTTGCCAGCTGCCTAAGCAAAGATGGTCTACATCTGACAGCGCCCAACGGACACCTGCGTTTCCACAGACCAGAGCTATATTCCCCAGGGTCTATATTATTTTGAAAGGAAGTAATGGTGCATATCATAGAATCATAGAATGGTTTGGGTTTGAAGGGGCCTTAAAGATCATCTGGTTCCAACCCCCCTGCCATGGGCAGGGGACACCTTCCACTAGCCCAGGTTGCTCAGAGCCCCATCCAGCCTGGCCTTGAACACTTCCAGGGATGGGGCATCCACCACTTCTCTGGGCAACCTGTTCCAGTGCCTCACCACCCTCAGAGTGAAGAAGTGGCATTAGGTAAGAAGTGATAACTAACAGCTATGAATTCCAGAGGTAGACCATAGCCAAAGCGAGGGCTTTTGAGGTATAGCTTAAAAAAAACCAAAGGGGGTGGGGGGGGAAGTACAGGGTAACCATTAATTTAAGCTTTTGCTTTCTGAAGGTCCCTTAAGATTGCTTTTTGTTCTCTTCGCATAACTTCATGAATTTTGCATTGCTGCTACAGAAATTATGATAAAATTAAAAATACTAAATTGCTGTCATCTCTCCTTGTGCTGTAATGTTGAGATAATGTTGTAATGTTGTGCCCAGAAGTGCTCATCCTAGATAGTCTTAATGCAAATGTGAAGGGGCTTTTGGTGAGACATTTACATGAAGGATCCAGATGTCTGGAGTTGTATATAAAAATCTACGTTTGCTAATCTCTTAGGCATTGTAGAAGGTATTTTTTAAAATGAATTTGTGAGAAATAGGGAAAG